TGGGTAACAGTACAGTAGAGCTTTGTGAAGCTTTGTGACAAAGCCTTTTCTTGCCTGCTGTTTTCCTGTTTTTCATTTCTGCATCATGCTCCATTTTGCTTTCAAACAGGGAATGTTTGGCTGGAAAGGCTCAGGATTTTGTGACAGAGTGGGCAAAGGCCTAGGAGAATTAATTCTGAGCTAGGGAAGGCTTGTGTGTTTGTGTGCTTGGAATGGCTTTTGGTTCTAAATGTTTGACAAATTCCCAAAGTGGGAGGTAGCATAGATGTCTCTGTCTTGACGCCCAAGGTGTTTTCCAGGCCATTAATACTGAGCTGCTCATACTTTCTCCATGTCCTGCCTTTGCTCTCTGCAATACACACACGTACACACTCCCTGCTCCACACCTGCCCTCTATTTTCCAGTCAATTTGACTTGCCAGAATGGACAACTTCACATCTGTGGGATGATCTGCTACCAGCAGATCTGCTCGAGCAGGCATCCCACATTGCTGAAGGCTGTGATAGGTGGGTAGGTGGGTAGGTGTGTGATGTGGTCCCTGCAGCTGGGGTTGCAGCTGTGGGTTGTAAATGTAATTGACACTCTTTTTAACTTCTGTTGCACCCACTGCATGTGGGCACAGGATTAGTTCTGGTCAAAGCCTGTATTTCCTAACTTAGGTAACTGTCCTTCTCCTGAAGCTCAAGGCCTTGCAAGCTCCTTTTTGCTATGCTCCTTTGTGTTAGTGAGCCAGCCCACAAGCTGCTTGCTGCTGGCACCTACAGATCCTGTCCTCAGATCTATTTGACCTTTTACTAAATTTAGTGTCTAAAGTTCAGGAATTTGTTTAAATTCTTTATGATGCTTAGCTTTGATGAGCATCCATCAAAAAAAGAAAGTAGCAGCCACTTTTTTAGGGGAAGTGAAGGATCTCCTCAGTGTTTGGAGATGCCTCTTCTACCTTTTTCTTCCCACATGTCCTTCCCTCTTGCCCTTCATTTGGCCTACTTCACCACTTCATCATCAAGGGATGCAGTTTAAACCAGCTGCAGTTTGCAAAGCTGGTGGCTCAATATGTGTCTGCAGGTTGTCTGTGGCAGCACTGACATGGTGGTACTGCCACCAAGGGTTGTCCTTGCCAGCAGCTTGGGCTCTCCCTTCCCCACCTCTTCCAATGCATCTCTAGACCCTCTATTGATCCTCTGCAATGTCATTGAGTGAGTAGTGACAAGCACAGTAATGCTCTCAGAGTCCTGATCGACTCAAGAGGCAGAGTGCTCTTAGAAGTGCACTCATGAATAATATTCGGGCATATTAAAGTAATGGCTGTAAGTACTATTCTCTGTGGCAAGAGATGGAAAAAGCAGTCAGTAACTGAGAACTGAACTCCGATAAAAATCATGGTGCTTAAACTATTGTAATAAATCTGTCAGTCTTCTCAGATAGTGAGCAGAAAATCTCTATTAAACAAGCCAGTGACAGGGGGAGTCAACTTGCTGAATAGGCAAACCAGTCCATCCTTTGGACTGTGGTTTGAGAACACAATAAAAAGCCCTGCTAATATCCATGGGGTGCTGTGGAAGTGCTGGGAAAAGCCTTGCACTAATCCAGTCTTGGGAAAACAGGCACATTGTGCTGAGACTTGCAATGAACAAACAAGTTCTGAAAAGATCAGAAAAGATTTGACTATAAACCTTTAAGGAAAGGTATTATATCTCAAGGGAAAAAAAAAGGAGAAAAAGAGGAAAATGGTCTTTCCTTACCGTCCTTGATTTTATTTATTTGAAAGTGGTGCTGCAAGATTAGCAATCTTCCATTAATTCAATGTCAACTTTATGATTGTATAGGAAGCATATTTGTTGTGGCTGTGGAAACTCAACAGTTCAAGTAAAGTTGCTCTGCTGATATCTCCCTCTTTTTTTCATGACCCTATAAAGTAATGTTTCACTTTGTTCTGGTTCCCTATTATTCATGAGAAATTCTAAGTTCTTCACATCCTCCCACAATTTCTGGTTGAATATAGATTTCACATTGAAGCTGTTCTGTACTTTTTCCTTTCTTGAATGAGCTTTGATGTATCTGTTTGAGTTTCTCCTGCCATCTGGTATTCTGCACTGAGAGCCACAATCCACACTGTTAACTCCTCACCAGTATTTTCTCTTTTTGCATATGTTCTGAGATGCACCAGAAATCTACTGGAAAACCATTTGTGGTGGTTCTAATTCTCACATCTTGGGTTTTATGACATTTTGTGCTGGCTTGAGGATGTTCCCCTGTTGAAAAGCAAGCAACTCAAAATGTGCTTTCCTCTCACTTTCTCATTGCCTGACATTCCCACCCTCCTCCTGGTTTTGTCATGCAGAAGAACCTGCTTTAAGACACAAATCCCACCACATGCACAAAACTAGATGGAGAAGCTTAGTGTTTGCCTTCATGCAGCAATTGGTGTTCATTCTCAGGAACTTCTCATTTGTTGATGCAGAGATTTTACTATTGAGCTGGAATATTGGCTCAACTTCAATAACTCGTGTGAAATAGTAAAATATTTCTTTTTCTTCTGAATTCACATTCATTGTGGGACAAGAGAGAACAGTGTGTGGGCTAAGTGTGGTTTGGATATAAATGTTCAGTACATGTTTTGATTATTTTCCCATTTGGAAAAGGTCTTAGACTTCACTCTTTGGTACTGCAATAATTGTATTTCAAGGCAGAAGAAGCTCATCTATCTATTATCTCCAAATGCAAACTGTTCAACAACTAGGATGTGTATTTTTATTACATCTTACATTTTTATTAAAATGTAGTGTTGCAATAGGATTCCTCTTTCTCTAAGGAGACTTTTATATAGATCTATATTTATATATATATATATACACACACACACTCTCATTAAAAATTATTTTGCAATGGGGGAAGAGGGCATTGAGTCCAAAAAGCTAAGTTTTATGTATTTTATTCATAAAAACAGATTTGCAACAATTTATTAAAAATTGATCTCATGCAGTATAAGGTTATACAAGAAATTCTTCATTTACATTTTATTCTGGCAGTTCCAGTCTAGTTTAAAGCATTTGTGCACTAACATCATTGGAAAATGCCATTGGGGCACAGCCTCTTCATAAATTTACAGTACATTTTTGCTGCAGTATAAAAGAACAGAAACATTAAATAGCTATATTCACTTGGTTGGTCTTGTTATCTGCAGTAAAGTAAAAAAAAAATGTTATGGGAGAAACTACAGTATCATTGAGACAAAGAATGTACTGCATGGTTTAAACCTAATAAACGTCACACAGTCAGTATTCACGAAGTTACAGACACACACACACACACACACTCACCTCCAATGGTCCGATACTTCTGAATTATTTTTTTTTCCTGCTAAGTTGGAATAATATTTCTACAGAGATCTTTGTGTATACATTATATACAATATAGTAATTTTCTCTTTTTAAAAATTAACATTCCTTTTAAAATAAACCAGGCCCTGATGATATTAATAAAGCAAGAGAATACTGTCAACACACATTGAGTGACAAAGTCAGTGTTTAGTGCTTAAACAGAGTAATGAGTTCTAGTTTATCTGTGTTTATACTTACATGGTTTTTTGTTCTAAAAGCTACAGATATTTCCATAACCTCTCTTACTGTATGTGCCAAGTGAAATATTTTGTGATGCTCCCGATTGTAAGATTCAGTTACATATTCATGTTGGTTTTGGCCACTACGAGGTGTGTTTTATTTTTAATGGAGATTTATGCTAGCTTGTCAAAGCTGCAGTTAAATCTCTCAGCTAATGAACCCCTTCAGCTGTGCTTCAGTCATTGCTGATTTGCAAACCTTTGTAAAAATGTCATTCCAAAGGTTTGGTCTAAGGGGCACAAGTGTGGATTAAATAAAACCAAGAGCCCAGTGGGTGCTTCATGTGGTTTTTTTCCCCCCTACTTTTAGCAAACAGCCCTGGCAGTGAGAGGATACATTTCCAGTCCCTTGAAAAAAGAAGCTGCATGCGTGTCTCACCTGTGCCTGAGGGTTTGGCTCCATAGTTGGTCCAGACGGTACACCACTATCATTCCTGCTAATTACTTTGGTTCAGGGAAAGGAGCTAAAGTATAAAATCCCTTGTTTTTTCACAGTCCTTTCAGGATTCAGGTAAAATATTCTATTGGTAAATTGGGCTTGTCGTCTCCTATCCGCTACAACTGTCACACGTACGCAGGTACGAAGCAAACAGAGTGTATATTCACATCTACGTGCCCTGCAGGCTTTGCCTGCAGTAGCAAAGTGCTGTGCCCTAATCCCTCCCCCCCAACTCCACTCAATTAATTTTATTGTAATTATGTGTGACACGATTCAAACAAACTAGGAAAAACAATTCATCCTGTGGCATTAAGACTTTACTACCCATCTGTCCTCAGTTTCCTGAGTTATCAGCCCTAGGACTTTTTCAGACAGTTTAGTTTGTTATGGTTGGTGGTGTTTATGCTGAAATAGGTGCAGAAACTTTGCTAAAAATGAAGCTGCAGATGGTCAGCAGTCACTGCCATTGCCCTGGAGAAGGGTGAAGTGCTCTGCTTGCAATCAGCAGCTCTCCAGCTGGTGGCAAGTGAGAGCTGGAGCTTCAGGCTCTGCTTGGGCTATACATACAGCTGCAAGGTAAAGGTGACCCTGATCACAGCACTGCAGAGTCTCAATGACACCCGAGGAATCATTTCTCACAATTCTTCTTTTCTACTAAACACTGTCCCTGAAATGAAAAGAAGCAAGACTAACCAGTGCAGAATGTTTCCAGCGATTTAACACAACTCTTGTAAAAATGAGTGCATCTATTCCAACATGGTATAGCTCGACCACTACATTTTCCTTACATGGATACAGTATAGAATTGCATGTTCTCAGCAGCCATGTAAAGCTCAGTGACATTTGAGTTTGTTTTTTATTTTCCTAGTGTCTTTTTTGCAAGATCCATATATCCCAGCCTCCTTGTTGCTAGTAGAAATTTTGGAAGAAACATTTTTCGGTGACTTCTAGGTGAAGAAATAAAAACTCCATGAATAAGGCTACAGATCAAACTCTTTGTGTCCTCCTTTGCTTTTTCACACGAGTTACGTGAGCACTCCTGTGACGAGGGCCTCAGCAGAAGTTCCTCTGCGGTAAGAGCCAATGTTACATGTTTGTAGCAGAGTTCTAGGTCAGATGTTTAGTCCAGTCATTGAGTACTTAAAAGCAGTTCAGGAAGCACTGATCTCCCCCTCCTACAGCCCTGAAACCATCACTCGGAAGGAGGGTGGCACGTGTCTGTGCCGAGGGCTGGCACTGGGGCTTACACACGGGCTGGCACAGCTGGCATCGACTCCTCCTATGGACGGCAGGTAGGCGTGATGGAGGATGGGCAGCTGCAAGGACAGCCGGCGCTGTATGCTGCGGGAGACACGGGAGAGGAACGTTAGCCAAGGATGGAATACATCGCATGGAATACGCCACATGGAATGCATCATCACATGGAATGCATCATCACATGGACTACATCTCATGGCTGAGGTGCTCCCAGGCTGCTGTAAGGGAGCTCTCTGTGCCTGCTGCTGTGACTGACAGGGTTAATGCCAAGAGCATTGCTCTTGCTGATGCTGAACTGTGCCACCATGATGTTGTTTTCCCCTTGGGGAATTTTTCTGACAGGTTAGACATGACAAAGGAAACTAAGTGTGCTTTCTCAGCATCCCAGAACCCTCTGAAATTCCCAGCCACATTCAGGTTAATTGTTAGATTGCTGACACTAAGAAAAGGGAAAACCTTAAGTTGGCAAAGAGGGTGTATGGCTCAGTGACCCCCCCCTGCCCCTTGCAAAGTGATCTACTGCCTGCAGAACCCTGTCCAGCTGTGTAGACATGCATGAGGTCACAGACTGAGTTTCAAGCCATGCATCGCTTAGCACAAGGATGTCAGTACTAAGGATGACATTTCTGCAACTCCACCTAAAGCAAACACAGGTGCATGGTTGAAGGGACTTGGGACTGATGGCTTTTTCCTATTTTAAGTAGTTCCTCTTTAAAGTTTGGGTCTGTGCTTTTGAGGTGATTGATAGATGCTTTTGAGTTCTGTCAGTCAGTGCTATGGGACTGAGGAGTTGGCACTCTAAAAGCAGTCCTGCCCAAAACCCATACTAAAATTCACTGTTCCAGAGCCCAATATCCTGTATCCATTTTTTCAAGTGGATTGACATAATGTTGACTGGTATAATTTTTTCTTTAAATGAATACTAAATCATGCTCACAGGTATCCCATCTAAGCCCTTGGTGTGGATGGTGCCATGAGAAAACAGCTCTGCTACTCCTGTACTGTGGATGTACTAGCATCTTTCAAAAAATCAAAATCCTGTTGAGGTTTGCTAGTGTAAAAAATGTTTTCAGTCATTTTATCATCAGGATGGCTTTGTGTTTGGAGACATTCACCCTTGAAACACAGAGGCACTTTGTAAAGAGAAGACAAATGTCAAAGTGACTGAGCCTTTGGATTTCAGAACAAAAATGCCCATAGAAAACATTGTATCAGTATAATCGAGTTTTAAATTTATGTTTGCCCGTTATCTGATATAATGACAGTGTATAGAAAGGCCTTTATAAGAGGTGTTTGTTTGAAAGCTAGCCTTTGGACAACCTTTTTGGTTCAAATGACATTTAATTGCTTTTTTGCTTTGTGTTAGGTAGCAAAGACAGATACTAAGGCATCCATTGCACTGCTTGGGGACCAAGCAGTATAGCTTTTAAATCCAAACAGAAAGAAATGTAACATTCTTCTCTTTAGTTTCTTCACTACAAACTTCAGCTTGTTTATACAGAGGTGCAGTAGAAGTAGCTGTTGTCTGCCTACCCAGGAAACTCTTTCTCATTGTTTCTCCCCTTCAAACTCCTTTTTAAAGTTTCACACAATGTTAGTCCTCAGTGATGATCATTGTAGTGCTGGCAATGCATTCCTGGAACTAAACAAAATCCATTCATTGTTATTTTGCTACTGTGCTCGACTCTTCCTGGTGCTATCAATGAAGTCATGCCTTGTTCCCAGGGAATGCTGAGGGGGCATGGCTCGATGTTACCCTGTGCTGAATCCTTATGAGCCTGATGCTGTGGATTGTCATTCTGTCTCTTGTTGAGGGCTCAAATGTAGAATTGCCCGCACTTACTTTCCCACCAGAGGAAACGCTTACTTTGTTCAACTATTACAGACTTCTCATTAAAGGGCTTTTTGAAGCTACTCCAAGAGAATCCAGTTGCATAATCAAGTGAATAGGATTTTTTTCATCCATTTCAGTGTTAGCCATACCATGGACAAAGCATGTTTATTTAGTTATGCCAATGGTGGCTGCGGTGGGTGGCAATTTTTGCTTTAACTGTACTTAAAAGTTTACTTTTACTTGAAGACTTGGTTCCTGGAACTGGGGCAGAGAACTGTAGCCTGGTGACTTGCACACAATTAAGATTGTAGACAAAACTCCTAGAATGAAGTATGAAATAAAACAAAACGAGTAGCAAAATCCAAACAAACCTGGTATTTTCGCCTGAAGTGAAAGTAAATTTTGTGCCCTGCTTCACTCTTTTTAGGATTTTTTTCCCCTCAATTTCAGTGATTTTCCCTTCTTCCACTCCTGCCACATTTTGCCAGTGCTTTAGGGGAAACCTTTGGTATCGATATAGGCTGCAGGATGAAGGGATCAAGAGCAGCCCTGCCAAGTGCGAACTGGGGGCGACGGTGCATGAAAAGCTGGACATGACCCGGGAATGTGCATTTGCAGCCCAGAAAGTTAATCATATTCTGGGCTGTATCAAAAGCAGTGTGGCCAGCAGTGTGAGAGAAGTGGTGCTGCCCCACTGCCCTTCTCTGGTGAGACCCCCACCTGGAATACTGCTAAAGTGAGTCCAAAGGAAAGCCAAAAAAAAAAAAAAAAATCAGAGGGCTGGAGGATGTCTTCCATGAAAACAGATTGAGAGAGCTGGTGGTTTTCATCTTGGAAGAGAGAAAGCTCCAGGGAGACCTTAAGTCTGCCTTATGGTACCTATAAGAGGCTTACAAGAAAGCTGGAGAGGGACTTTTCACAAGAGCATGGAGTGAGAGGATGCTGCGTGAGGCTTTAAACAAAAAAGTGTAGATTTAGACTAGATAAAAGTAATGAATTTTTATGATGAGGATGGTGAAACACTGCCACAGGTGACTCATGCCCCATCCTCGGAGACAACCAAGGACAAACTGCAGGGATTTGAACAACCTGATCTACATGAAGTTGTCTCTGTTCATTGCAGGGACATTGGACTGTTTGACCTTTAAAAATCCCTTCCATTATATGACTCTAGGAATTTGTTTCAAGTTGTCCATGCTATATAGATATGTATGTGAAAGCATTTATATGGTCAAGTACTTTGGAGAGGTAATGGTTAGTAATAGTGGGTCTAGAATCACAGGCAACCAACAAAAGAGATGGAAAGCAAAATCCTGATGAGTGGGTGCTCTGTGTGTGGAATCTGTGTTAGGGCAAGTGGGAAATATAAAATCAGGTAAAACTTTGACTTCCAAAGTCGATGCACACAGAAACACAATGCAGTGCACATGGGAATGCACAATACCATGAAGCAGGCCAAAGCATTTGAAATATATTTTTGGTTTTGTTATAGAAAACTACTAATAAGATCCATTGGTAAGTGGTGGGGGGACTGAAACAAATTGCTGCAACAGTCAAAAATCTGAAGTTCTGTGGGAGTGTGTAAACTGTGTCTAAGCACTCAAGGATTATTTCAATTAATTCTGCAGCACATTAATGTTGATTTTTAGCAAACAAAGGGAAGTTGGAGAAGCTCTAAAAGACTACAATAAAGCAAGATGTTCCACTAGCAAGTGAACTAACTATTCTAAACCCACCTTATTTTAGTGACACATTTGAATAAGATCATATAGATGGATCATAGATATATCACTCTCAGTGAAGAAACCAAGTAACAAAGGCCTGTTCATGCTGAGGCATATTGGTTGCAATGCAATAATCCAGTCACAACCAACTTTTTTGAATGAGAATTTTTTGTTACTTAAATTAGCATAACTGGCTCCAGCTATGCTTTGAAGTTATGCTTTGAAGGTTACAAAAAACTCTGCATATAGAAATAGTCTATTAAGATCACAGGTTTTAGCAGGGTCCCGCAGAAATCTGTCATCACCTCTACTTAGAGACCTGGAAGACTGTTACATATTGTTGCTGTTAAAATGAGAATGGAATGAGTTTTAATGGTGCCAAAAACTAATGACCTGCTGGTTGTAGGTCACTGATGAGAAGGGACAACATGCAGCAATGAAAGCACATAGATGGATGTCTTTAAGGGTCACAGAAGATAAAGCACTGAACGTGGCCATCATGCAGATGAACTGACTGATGTGATCTTTAGATAAGCAGGACTGCCCATCAGGAAATATGCACAGTTTGATACTCATCAAAGCAGATGACTTTGCCTGAGAGACAATTCATCCTACTGGGAAAAGAATTACGTCTATTTTAAACTGGTTCAGGCTGCTCTCTGGACCTGAGATGAGCTGGCACGGTACAGTGTCTATCCACACAGCGAAGCATCCCCCAGGATTGTTACTGAGCATTACCTGGGAGAGTACAAATGGATACAACTGTGTTGGGGAGTATGCTAAAAATGGGAAATCAAAGTGCAGGGCCTGTGCCTGTGCACTGGCATCGCTTTGCCTGCTATAGGAGGTGTCAATTTATACTGTGTAGACAGTGCAAACAGGAAAGAAAGCAGTCAGCACCCACTTTTTGCTCCTCTTATCTGATGGTCTGACTGATGGAAAATTTTACATGGCAGTGTGGAAAGCCTACTGAGTTCTGCCCAGCAGGAACTGCCAAGGGAACTGAGAATCGTCTGTATTCATGCTCTAAGTCATACAGACGCATTTTCCTTAGGTGCAGGGTTCTAAATCTGAGCCGAGCACAAAAAAATAGTTTTCCACATTCTGATTGAGACAATGTAAACATTGCCCCATCAACAAATGTGAAACAACTTCCTGCACTACTGCCTGAGGTGTGTGTATACTGTTGTGCCTTTACTTTGTGCACAACTGTAGAATAAGGGACCTTACAATGAGTCAAATGTAGCACTAATAGTAAGAACAAATGAAAAAAAATCCCAAATCAGCTCTTTTCTGGACTCTATAAGAGCTTTCATACTAGAAGATGCCAGTTCTCATGAGTGCTGACAAGCACAGGAAGCTGGGTGATTTTTTTCCCCACAGCCATTAAAAGGTTAAAACTTATGCAGGAAAATGATTGTCTTGACATCCTCCTTTTCACAGGTTTATGACCAAGAGGAAGTCTTTTTCAGACTAATGTCCTTGAGATTTGTGTTCTTGAATAAGAAATAAGTTTCTCAGACTGTGTGACTACCTATCAGATACCCTGTGTATAAAATGAAATGAGAAAGACAGAAAATACAGCTTTAACTCCTTTTTTTTTTTTTTTTTCACAAAAATTACACATTTAGCAACCATCAAAGGACAGAAGTGCTACCAGACAAGTTCAGAAACAAGCCCAGAGGTGCAGAAGAACGTCTTAAAGAGTACAAACTTTGGAGATAAGCAATCTCTTGTCAAAAAGAGGGAAGTCCTGAAGACAGATATACTTCTCCTCCCTGGCAGATCCACTGTGTCTGGGCAGTGTGGCTCTGGTACCCAAACTGCCAACTCGTTCTCAGGAAAGAGATTGACCTGGCACAGTAACAGCTGTGCAAGTGCTGAATGACACTGTTTAGATTTAGCAGGACCTTGTTAATTGCTTTCCATAAATGTCAGACACTGTCCAGATTCATACTAACCCACTCTCCAGAACCTTTAGGAAGTCTCAGTCTTCTCATCAGTTATCACTAGCCTAGAGGAAGTTCTGTCACCACCACCACCACAAATATGTTTCTTTTTCTTTGTCTGTCTTAAATCTGTATCGAGACAATTGGATTATCTGCGTGTCTGTTTTTCTTAGCATCTTTCTTAATATAAGTGGGCCACATGTGGATGAGGCTGCATTCACACTACATTATTTCTGACAAATGGTGCTGAACAAAACACAGGCCTTTAAAAGCTATGCATTAAAGCACTCTGCTGACCCCATGAAGTCATGAGAGCGCTCTCAGCAAGAGCCCTGCTTACGTGAATTTACAAGATATTTCATCTACTGTGGGATTTCTTTTTGATGCATATGTGTGTGTGAATTAGCTTCTTTGCAGATTTGGGTTGAATTTTTTCTTTGAGTGCAAGGACAGATTTAGAAATCCACATGTTTTCCTACTCCAGGTAGTAGAAGGCAGCAGCTACTATCTGGATTCAGGCTTGCTGTTGCTGGTGTAACGTGACTCATTCTGGTAATCTGTTTAACTTATTCTGTTTTTAAATAAGCCTTTGAATTGCCCAGGATTCTGACAGCTCTTAGCCAGGCACTGATGAAGCGATGCTCGTGTAACCAGGCTGCCGTGGGGAAACGGCGCATCCGGGCACACACGTTAGGACCGCGCTTCCCTGAGCTCCGGCCCATGGCAGGTCCTGCTCAGCTAGTAAAGGGTAGGACACGAGTTTATTGTACAGGTTCCTAGAGAGAAAAGCTGACACCAGAAGACTCTTTCTCCTCTGTAAATCTAGCCAGAGTTTTGTGCCATCCTCTCCTTGTAGCTGCAGCATTGTTTCTAAGGGAAAATACTTAGTGCAGGCTTTCCTGTGCCAAAACTCAGGTCCAGCTGCTATGGCAACGTTGAAAAGCTCTCAGGACATTTTTTATTTCTCCTCTAGCTTAAGAATGGAAAAGAACAAAATGTCTATGTACACTATGAACCCCTCTGATTGGTGTGTGGAAGGACTTGGACTTTTGACAAGAGTCATAAGACATTTGTGCACGCATGTACATTCTCTTCTCCTCCACACGCTGGCAGTTGGGCACAGCTCATCCTGTAACTCTCCACAAAAACTTTGGACATCATGCTATGGAGGCTTCCAGCAAGAGAAAAGAAGCACGTTGATTTGCCTTTGGGGCACCTTAGGGTCTGAAGCCTCTGATACCCTTTAAGTTCCATTGGGGTGGTGAGCTGGTGGCAGGGAGGAATCACAGTACAACGTTGCTGCCTACCAGTGCTTCAGGAGGTGCCATTCACACTCCCTGTTCCTGATGTTTCAGGCTCTCTCTGTGGCCTAGGCTAGCTGGAAGGGGTTACCATAAAGACCATAAGGTCTTTCCATAAAAAAATGCATGGAAGGGAAATATGGGCTTTGATGAAATGTAATAATTTAAATTAACATCTTGTCATCAAGGTAACGATGTATACTTACTGTTCTGGAGAGTTGATGTCTTCTATGGGATCTTTGCTTGTTCTGGAAGGGTCTGATGAGCCCCACTGTGCTGGTGGATTTTGATCAAGATGATTTTTCAAAATGGCTTTCTCACCATCTGGATGGACAACACATTCGATTTTACTTTACTGTGACCAAGTGACCATTTAAAAATTGTTTCATTTTAACTTTTTTTCAGATATCCATAATTCCACAAAGTAAACTCATGCTCCCTATATTCCAATATAATCTCAAGTTTTGCTGTGGGAGTTTGGTACTCTTATATTTCGGATGATGTGCTCCTCCATAAGAGCCACCATGAAGAAACAGAAAAGTGACATCATGCTCTCTCATCTAGTCTCGGGCTGTGTGAAAAAATAATGTAAATATACTGTTCCTGCAGTTAGAAATTTTGTAACCTTTTCATAAACCCTCCTTCTTAAGACTCTTCCTAGAAAAACTATAATCTCGTTGATGTATAAACCCTCGATACTCTTACGATCACACAGGCAATTAAGTGCTGTCATTTGGCTATCAGCTACTGCCATCATTTTTTAGCATGGAAATATGATTCCTATCAGTTGCACTGGTCCATAGGCTGTCTGCAGCAAGGACAGCTAATGATGTCATTACACTTTGTTCTTTCCTACATAGTGATAACAAAACACATCATAATTCTTGATTCCTCTGTGTGTCCTGGGAGTCCTCAGCTAGCTGTGCTGAAGCCCATGGCATCATTCTCCCTGAGAAACATGGGCAAACACAGCCATTTTAAGGAGATCCTTTCTGTTCCTGCCTGCTTTTTCAAAGTCTCTTTCTGTGGTAAGCCAAATAAAATCACATGGAAAGCATCTGAATAATGAGGACAGTTCACAGTTTTCATAAATAATTACAGAGAGCTCCAAATCCATCACCAGCAGTTGTTTGCCACACAAACAGAGGAGCAGTGATTGCCGCAGGCATTGAGGCAGCATGGAAGAGGAGTCTGAGGTAAATTCTTGAAGAGGGTACTGGAGGATTTGAACATAAAATTGGGTACGAGGGGGAAAAGCAGGAAAAGGGTAGAGAAAAAAGGAAAACGGAATGAAAGCCAGTACATTTTGAAGGGTTAAGCTTTTCTCTTGTAATCATGTTCAGAAGCCCCAAATAATGCTCAGCTCCCAGCATGCTAGTAATATGCATGTTATCAACAGGCTCTGAGGGGACAAAGCAAGCAGCAGAAACACAAACTGAGGAAAGAACCTGGAGGCATAAATGTTTTGAGGGCAAACTCCAACATCTATAATTGGCCTCCCAGCAAGGTCATCCCTGGCATTATTTGATAACATTCAATTCATGCTGTGAAAAAACCTAACAAGCAAGCAACAACCAAGTGTGTAGGTGAGGAGGCAACAATGTGCAGGCATGGGGATCACTACAGCTCAGAAAGGGAGACAAGATTTTTCACTTATGTTGCACTGAAGAGAGGATCTGGGTGAGAAAGGAGGTGAACACATGAAGCTGCTTCCGTTGGGGCAAGAAAATGTCAGTAGAAGAGAGCTAAGGAATTCAGGTGTAGCAAGAAGAGTGTTTAAAATTAAAAGATGGCAGGATTCACTGATGGTTTAGATGTGAAGGGAGTACAGCAGAGTCAAATCTGACAGTGGCTGAGATAAGCAGTGAGGTCTATCATCTCAGGGCAGCCTGAAGTTTGCTGGTGTGGCATTTGCTGTCACAAGAGTTCAGTCTTTATTTTCTGTACATTGCATTTCTTTGTCTATCGAGTTCGACATTTGCACAAAAGTCTTGTTGTGTCTATAAACAGACATGTAGAAAAGAACACTTTTTACTTCCGTGATTAAAACCAACATTTAGTCCTGAGCTGACCTAAGCTGACAATGGAAACTGCTGACTTTTTGATATAGACCAAAGTAAAAATTTGAGTAACCCTTATTATTAGGGATAGAAAAGCTCTAAGATTTAATTACTTTAGGGTTGCAACTCCTTTGGCTAAGATAAGCAATTTAACATTTTACAAAGCCACTAAAGATATAATTCTTCATCAAATGATTGGAAAATACAGCTGTTGCTGTTTGGCTGTATGTTATTTAACAGAATAATCTGCGTTGTACACACTAAAGGAGTTTCCTGTACTTTCAGATGTGCTGAGAGAGAGAGAGAGAGAGAGAGAGAAGGAGGTGGTCCTTGTCAAAAAGGTGGGGGATTTAGTTTAGAGTAGAGCAGAAATCATATATTCTCTTCCTACTCACCTCTCAACACCAACTGCCCATATATCACGGTGTGTTATTCTTAATAGACTCTTTTCTACCACTCTTGCAGATGACTTGCCCTTAATACACTGAATAAATTTCTGCATACAAGGCTACCAAATGCAAGTTTTACTGTATATCTATAAAATACAGACAAAATGCACAAAAAATTGTAACTTTTTTTTCCTTTTTCATTTGCTTCTTTCAAATATATAAAAAAGTTAGGTAATTCTTATTTGTTAAGCATTTTCAGAGAGGAGTTGTTAGGTTTTTATTTTGCAGCTATGGAAACTAGAATATCTTTATTTTTCATTTACCTTTCATTTAAATAATGAAGAGCAAGATTCTCACTTAGTCATATGCTTCTGGGAGCTGGAGCTTAAAGAAAAAACGCTATTGCCATATGCACTTAACAAACTTAAGGGTTTAGAAACCTAGTTTTATATATGTGAACAACTGAAAGTAGTGGTAAACATTTGATTTCCCAGTTTCCCCTGGAAAGTGTAGCAGTGTTTTTGATACTTTCCCATCTTCTCTTCCTCTGTCCATTAAGAATGCTGGGTGGAAAACACCCTTCATTCTCAGGGTACAGTCTGCCACTGCAGATTCTACCCAGTAAGTTGCACCGGGATGATGTAACTACCTTTTAAATTGAAATTACATTAGCCAGAAGCACCTTCTAAATAATTTTCACCTTTGTAGACCTCAAACCGGAACTCATAAATCTGGATAAGTGATGCCTGAGCACTTTCCATTCAGAAAGCTGTCGGGAGAAAAGACAAATACATCTCAAGGGCCTCACAGAGCACTCAGCAATGGGCTCATTATAAGCAAAGCTCGCTGCCAGTGGTTGGTGAGAGCCAGAAGGCTTTAGCTCAGGACCTTTGCCTACCTGTAGCAAAGAAACAGCTTCCATTTACAAAGCTCTGAGCTGCAAGAGCACACCTGATGCAGGCTGCCGAGGGGCTCAGCCAGGAGGTCACTGCTCCCAGCTGCTCTCCTCTCTCTGCCAGGGGTGACCTGTAATTACTTGGGCAGGTTTAAATGTTCCATGCATATTAACAACCCTCATTCAGCTGCAGGCAGAAAGCACCAGGTGACTGATGATGCTTCAATTTCTTCCAAGAGTTTAGAAAACATTTTTTTTTTAACTACAGGCTTGTTTTGTTGTTGTTTGTACACTGCAGCTTTATTGAACATCTTCATCATTACGCTTTAGAGGCAATACTCCTCTGATGGCTTAGAACTGGATGACAGAACTACTCTTCATCCAATATCTTTCAATTCTACTGTTGTTTCTCTTTGCTAGAAAGCATATATTATGCTCCACAAAGAAGCAAGTGTGGTTTAATAAGGACTTATAAGATCTGGCAGAGATAACTTTGCTGATTAACTAAAGAGCTCAGGAAACTTTAAAAGCAGAGGCAGATTTTGAAAACCTGCTGTAATTTTTCCCAGTTCTGTTATTTGGACTGTGAAACATGAATAGCCAGTCTCTGTTTTTCATGTGAATAGGGTGCTAGGAAAGTAAACTGAAAGGAAAAATTAAAATGATCACATCATCTGCTGGGTAATCAGAAAAAAGTTCTCCTGAAGTAAGCACACTGCACAGCAATCTAAATCATAGCCTCTCATAGTTGAGTTTTGAGAGGAAGATTAAAAAAAAAACAAACTAGCAAGACTTTGCTCTGATTTATACTACTTTAAATCAGAAGATATTCCCTTTACTACAGATTCATTTCTGTGCAAGAAAGGGCAGAAATTGATCCTCAGACAGGTTGGTCTCCCTGTTGATATAGAAACAAGCTCCAATTTCAGGATGAATCCATTTGTTAGGCTTCATAGAAACTAACATACGTATCTCTACATTTCTGTGAAGAAAGGAACTATACCCTTGTTTCAAACTAGCATCCATTTAAAGGAGTTATTTCTGAAAGCCCTTACCTTTGAATCTATTTTTCAATCTCAAGCTTAATGCTTGAATTCCATGAACTTCATAGGAATAATATTTCCCTCATCTATCACAGATGAACTCTGTTTTGCTTTGCATTTGTGAGCAACGTGCCTTTGAAATCTGTTTTTCTTTGAGCTGCTTTTACATGGGGAAAAACTAACACCAGGAAACATCGGAGTGGGGTGACAAGTGACAGTATGTAGGCATATCTGACATGTAAATGAATGCTCCCAGCCCATTCACAGCAATGAGTAAAGACTGTTTTCTGTCTTAAAACAAACAAGATTTTCTGAGCAAGGAAGGGCTCCTGCAGAGAGAGAACTTGCAAAAAGGGTTGGCTCATAAGAGGGGACTGTGGCAAGGCTGTCTCTTGCTTCTTCTGTACATCCCATAGAATGGCTGTCATTCCTTTATTTCCCTAATACGCTTCTCTGAAAGGTACTGGCTAAGGTAGAAATAAAGGGAGATTTTCTGCAGGATTTCTTCTGAGCTTTGCTTTATATGAAACTCGATGCGTAATTTTGTGAATTATGTTACATGGAAATGATTTCATGTATTAAAACATCAAAAAGAAGTCAAGTAGAGTAAGATAGTGTGATTCCAAGTCTAGCAAAATGATCTAGCCCCCCCACCTCCCCTTCCTTTACACAGCATCACAGTTGAGGCACCTGTCCTCTTTTTTCCCAAATGTCAGCCTGGCAAACACAGCCATGCCTCCAAGCCTGACTCTTCTTGCTGAATGGCTCTGTCAGTTCCAGCGCTAAGCCAAGTGCTGGCCTCCCCCACACCCCATCCCTGCCTCAAACCCAGCTATAATGTGGCCCTGCCACTCCAGCGAGGCCACCAGATCCCACAAATGCCAGGGGAGAACTTAACGTTGCCCTGTGCACAGAGTTGAGGTCACCTGAAGGCACAGTGACTCAAAGTCATCTGAGGAATGTAGGAAATGAAGTTAAGAGGATGCCCTTTTAAATTCAGCTGGGGAAGCCATTTGCAGTATCAGATCCACAGTCTGTGGAGCATGCTGAAAACTGCTTGACCACACAAAGCTATGTGGCAGTGCAGCTAAAAAGCCTGCATTAAAGAAAGCAATCAAGCCATAAACCACAAATCACATTTTCCTAATTGCTTTTCTTACATAGCCAATTGCTGTAGATGTCTCAGGGACATTATACATTTGTGAACAAGAGTTGAGTGTCTCAGATAATATCTCTCCTTAAATGAGATGTACTGAAATGTGCTGTAAAGGAGTCCCTGTGCCAGCAAAGAGCTCCTGGGATGCACCAGGAGCTGTTGCCGTTAATAACTAACCAGGAATCCCAAAGTTATGAAACGCTGCCTGAGGTCAGACAGATATAGGAGTTCACAGCCATATCTACCTATTTTGGCTAAAGTAATTTCACTTTTGTATCTTAAATCCATGTCTTTTATGTAAATGAGGGTGGTGGGGAAGGAATACATGAATCAAATAACCTCCTTTGGCACTTGGCTATAAGAATTGGGATTTTTTAACTCTGGGCAAATTTTACAGATCAGAAACCTACTGAAGTGTACTATGACATTAAAGTTTGATCAGGGCTTGTTCGAGATGCATTGCCTAAATCCCCTGTTATGATCTGTTCTGTGAAGTGTAGTGCCCTGAGTTTGTGTAAGCAATAGCAATGGGGTTACACTACATGGCATTCTTCATGTGAGCTCCTCCAGAACAGCAAGGTATTTTATGAGAACAATTCACATAGAAGTGAACCACAAAGTGAATGTGGCAAATTATCTGCTATGACTTTTATTTCCAAGTCAGCTGCTATTTTGAGCCTCTCTCTTCACTGTCCTATTCCCGCTCTCCCAGCTCACATTTTCACAAGATCAAGGAAGGCACAAACCTCATCATCACCTTTAAACCAATATTGGACTGGCTTCCCCAGTTGCACAGTGGGGATGAGAGAGATGGTCACTTCTAGGTCACGCTAATAGATTATTTACAATTCTGAAGCTTCACTCAAGTACCACCAGGGATGCATAATTTCAAGTTTCTGTACTTTCCTTTACTGAAAGCTCATGAAATGCACAGCTACAGAAAGCATAGTCATGTCATTCAGAGTTAGCTTTCCTATAGCCGTAAGGGCAAGAATTTTTTTAAGTACCATTTAAGTGATGTCTGTTTGAATCTGCACAGAAGCAGCAGTGACTCAGCAGCATGAATTCTCCAAAGCCTTGTTATTTTGATTGGAATGGCAAATTTATATTAAGCACATGGGTTGACTCTTGGGGATGGGTGCAGTGAGAGAAACAGACAGGAGAGCCAGACGTAGATAAGGGACAGGGAAACGTGGAAAGATAAGAGGAAGAAGAAATGGGATTGGAGGGACAGGAAAAGGCTAACAAGGGTTGCTGATAACAGTGGCTCAGAGCCTGGAAGTATGAATATTTAATATCACTTGTGTCAGAATCAGGAAACACTATAATAAGCATGCATGGAGTATTTGCCACCAGGTGTGGGACCAAGCTTCAAACACCCTCTGCAAATTGGGATCCCAGTCTTCCTCATTTCCAGGTGGACAAGGGAAAGCATCTTTCTCCACCTGTCCCACCTTCTGTGTGGAGCTTTATGTAGCAGGTCCACTGAGAAAATTGTGTCCAGCAACTTCAGTGTGCAGAATAACTACCCTATAAATCCCAATAAAACATAGTTCCAAGCTACTCTGGACACTAAGGCTCCATGCTTACAGATGATTTTAAATATGCACCCCACAGCAGAAATGTAAAAGCTGTACTGGGGGAAAATTAGGAACAAAGACAATCTTGGCTGCTATTGCTTAAAGCAGCAGTTAGGCATCAATGTCTTTTGGAGATATAGCCACAAGTAAGTGCAGAAAGGTTATATTTTACCCTTGATTTCTTTGCCAGCCTCCTACTGCTAATGGAATGCATCTCGCTGTGGGAAGCATCCATCCTAAAATTATACCCAGTGTATTCCTTGAGAATAATTTTTTGTTTCTCATACCCAAACTCAGATGGGCATTTGGCACAATGCAATATATCTTTTCTGCTTGAAATATTATTCATGATTTATCATTTTTCCCAGAGCATCTGACATGAGAGGAACATTCTATGTGTTCCTTTCAAACTGCCTCATCCCACTCACTGATGTTAGTTCTTGCTCCTGATCTCAGCCCAATAATCACACGCCTCCAGCAGCTATTTACGTTTCCTTTTCCTCCTTTCCCCTCTTCTGCTTTTTTTTTTCACTTTTAAAAAGGACACTGGGAACTCTCCCTTTTTCTTCTTTTTGCCACAAGTTATACAACCCAGTGTATACCCAGGCTAAAACAAAAGGCATGAGAAAAAGTAACCTTATCCAACTGAAATTTCAATATGCTTCAAAAATATATGTGAACTGTTGCTGTTGTTCTAAAATTATTCTTCAAACTTTTTCATAGGAGTAACTTCTGCCCCACTTAATCAAGCCTATGGTGCCACATCAATAGGAAGCCTGAGACTTGCAGTGTAACAAACATGCAAATATACAAATTCTGAACACAGTGCAAACAGTTTTTCATACATTATAATAATAGTCAGCTGTACAAAGCTATTTGCCAGAAGTCACAAAGTAGATCCATTTTAGAGTCAGATATGGAAGGTGGGTGTCCTGGCTTCCACTTTTATTGCACTGTGCACCAGATTTTATTGCTTCCCAAAAAGCAAAATGGGTCTAATGGAAGCAATTCTCTTGCATGTATTTCTTCAGGGAGAGGTGCAAGAGACACAGGAGAAACAACTTAGGAATGTTACAGTTGTCATTAAATCCTTTTTTATCAGTTCCTAGGGAAGAATTTTCATACATGAGTGGCTTCAATTCTACATTTAGAATCCAAATCAGCACTGAAATATTTACATGCTTCGCTTTTACATGCTTGATAGCAGTGTCCAAAACCAGGGTTTCAGTATCCTAGTCAGACAAGCACATATTACACTCGGCTTAAAATTCTGTGATTTTCCTCTCTCCATGCAGCACAAAAAAACCGTGACCTCTGAACACAAGTACACTTCTAAAAGTTTCCCACTTCATCATGTGTATTAAAATAGAAGACATATATACAGAAATAACTACTCAGTGGATACCATGTAGCTTATTATGTGAATCTGCATATTCTCAGTAATTCACCCAAAATTTTTATACTGTCTTACTAAGGTCTGAGTGCTCTGAAGCCAATTCAATGAGATTGGTACTCAAAGGTTTGGCATGATAAGCTACCAATGGATTTTACTAGCACTCACCTTTGCCATCTGTGAAGTTCCGTATACTAAGAATGTCATTAAGGTCCTGATAGTGGTTCTGCTTAATGTATGTTGTTTTCTCAGGAGTGTCCTGAAGTTGCATTGTGACCTCTTCCAAGTCTTTATCCAGCTGAAAAACAAATAGTACAAATCCTTCAAAATTCAGGAGTCCTTGCTTCAGATATCTGCACTGAGGCCCAGCTTTCTATAATTACACTGGAAGACAGGTGGTAACGCAATTACTACACTGTGGCAAACACAATTTTCTTACAGCACTACTACACTACCTCTAAAAATAATGCTACAAGTCACAAATTGTGTTCAACTGTGATATTGCACATAGGGTGTAGGAGAGGAATAAGCTTTAGTAGTTGACAGTAGAAGCAATTCAGGTGTACTGACAAATGAGAAAGATATGAGCATAAAAAAGCTCAGACTGAAGACCTCTCAATTATTTATTATCCACATGTAAAATTGTGGCATACGTAGCTCTAACCATTTCATCCACCAAATTATCGAGCATACAGGAGAATATAAGGGAACTATGGCATGTCCAGTCATGTGAGTGACTGCAGTCAACTCTACCAGGAATGCACTTTTAGCACTGAGCAGAGCACAGTGGGCTCTCCTCAGAGGCTGACTTGTACTCAATTGTCCACAGCCCCAATAGAAAATTACAAGAAACAAGCTTTCTAATCCTCTTTGTCAACAGTTGTGCAGGGTGTGGTGTCCAGAGTTCGTCCCACTCACTACCAGCTTAACTGAATTTTAAAAGTCCTGAATTTAGTTTTACATTATTCCTTATAGAACTGGGACATAGCAACTCAAACTAGATGAGCCAGAGATGTAGCTGCTAGCCATGGTAGGGCATGTTCCAATTCCCCTTGACAATGAAACTGATTTGGACCCACTGGTTGTGGGAATTTAATCTATTTGGAGCAAAGTCCAAAAGAAATAGACAGGGTCCTGCAAGCACTAATGGGGCTGCTCTGAGCAGCCTTACCTGTGCTCACCATCATGAGCCTTGGGAGGCACAGGCTGAGATCTTGTGTTAGGAGGCTTAGTTGAAAAAAATACTACAGTAAAGGAACAGAAATAGCCAGCAGGCAGCTAGGCCTTCATTAAAAATTTCAAGGCTCTCACATGAAAGGAACCTGGCAAAGCTGAACTAAATTTCTTTAACAAGATAGAGATAACTTTTGCTTTTGGACTCTTTAGTAGCCTGAGTAAATACCTCTTAGTTACCTAGGCAATTGTCTCTACTTGAGATCTGGGCAAAGAAATAACTGTTGCAATAAAATAGCTTTTCTTCAAGGTGTAAGAATACAGACTGGGCAAGAACGGGTTAATTTCTTTATGACATGATCAGTTATGGTTACCTTGTCTCAAAAATTGGGCAGTCTTCAAGACTGGTTTGTCATCGTTTCAGGTCTACTGAGCAAGGATGGACGTAACTATAAATGTACATGCTATAGCTCTGATGGAATTCATGTACTCAGCCTTTCTCTCAGTGGATACTGAAGAAACCACCACCTTTGTGCCAAAAAAGTCGGCTCACATGTTCACAAAGGTATTTTTCTACCTTAAGAAAATATGTAATTCTGTTTCATGGAAGATGTAAAAATCTGTCTAGCAAGGTTTTGAGCAAACTCTCAGAGAGGCTGAGAAATAACAGCGACGGCAGCCTCAGAACTCAGCCATAAACAGGAACAAAGGCAGCCCTTAAGTGGCCCTGGGGCTGCGGATCTTGTTACACTTGTAAAGGTTACACACTTCTGGAGCTGCGGAGCTCAGCATGTCCATGTGAAACAGCAGGCTAACTGGCCTGTCACAAATAAATAGGGCAAGTTTAATTCCATTTTGCTAAGGCACATTTGCATTTTATCACACCTGCTATGTATTTGCTGTACTCGTTAGCAATCCGAATAAATTGTCTCTTTCGTATTATTTCTATAGGGAAACTTTTTTCTCTGAAAAGAAGTCAGCATTTAGGCAGATTGCAGAATTGCAACAAAAAACAATGGAAAATGAAGTGCCCAGGCAGTGTATACAGTAAACAGTACCTCTGTAATTTTCATTCTCAAGCGGTGGTTCTCTGACTGCAATCCTTCTAGTCGAGACGTGCTGGCCTGATTGACGCTGGTGACTGATGTTGATGTTTTTGAATCTTCTTTCTTTTGGTTTTGAGTGAACTGAAACCGTCTGTTCTGTGTGGCTGCATCTGGATTTGTTCGCAGTGTGATGAGCTGAAAGGTTGAAAAGCCTTAAGAAATCCTGTTTTATTTTTGCAGCTATTTATTTTGTATCTCAAAATACTGAAAGGCAAACCAAGAGCTCCTTTTTGATTTTCAAATATAAAACTAGAAGTGAGCTCTGCTTGCCATGTGCACTACTTGAGATGATTTCTGAATAACTTTATAGACTAGGTTGAATGAAAATGATTGTGAGAAGGGAAGCATTCCAAAAATTAGGAAGAAACTCATTCAACAGATATTTATCTGGGTTTTAAATATATTAAAATATATTTTAATATTCTATTAAATGTATTTTTCTCCTTTATTGATACATTTATACTTTCAAAGGGTATATTCATTCTTCAAGAAAAAACCAAACCCTTCTCTTCTCAGGCACAGTTTCATCTGAAATTTGTCCTTTCCTACTGTTACAAGTAACACTCAAGCAGTGAGAGACATGAAGCAGGAGTATTAACAGAGAGAACTCATGGGAGATTGCACTCTGGAGATAACAGAAACTTAATTAGTTTTTAGCAACCCAAAATAAACCAAATCTGTTCAAACAAATTAAATAAGCCACTTAAAAAAAGGTTAACCTTAAACATATTTAATTTAAGCAAATATAAGTAAAATTTTACACTCAGTGACAATGTGAAAATATCACCTCGACATGAGGAGAGAAAGCTACTGCTGTTTGGCAGTGGAGAGAGAGATTCTCAGATTACTCCAGAGAATACAAAATTTATGCTACTTGCCAAGCAGCATACATATATATCTGTATACAGACAAAGCTGAAGGAGCTCCCTGCCCTGAGAGGATAGGCATGGAATCATAAATCCAAAGGTGTTGAGTTGTCTGAAAAGAGAGAATGGGCAATCATTTTTTATACAGAGTCCAGCCAGGTTTTGTGGTATAGCTGCATTTTGGAATCGATTCCTCTTATTCTTAAGAGCACAGAACTGTTCTGCAGCTCCAGTGGCACGAAGTAAGGCCCTAACTTGTGATCAAGAGAGATCTGACTGCTCAGACTCTGAAGAGTGTGGTCCCTGGCATGTATTTACAGACCATGCCTGAAGATTGGGATGATGTTTGTGGATAATACATTTCATTTTCAGGTGGTAAAGTAGATGGACAAAGTTCAGGTGCTCTGTATCTTCTTCACCTTAGTCTTTACTGGTAAAACTTGCCTTCAAAAATTCCAGATCCTCTAAAGTAATTGAATACATCAAGTTCAGCCAACCTGATAAGTTGTATGCCTGAGGATTAAGAGAACTGGTCCATGTCATCATGAGGCCACTCTCAGTTACTTTTGGAAAATAGCGTTGATTTTGTGCAGTTTTTGAGGATTGGAAGGAAGGAAATGTCACATCTGCGTTCAGGAGATGTGAGAGAAGAATTTGGGGAAATGTCTCCTTGCCACCTTCACCTCAGTCTGTGGGGGATGCTGCAATGGTTCCGGGGAACCATTTCCAAACATATGAAGAGCAAGAACCTGATTAGAAGCAGTCATTGTTGATTTATGAAAGAGAAATCCTGCCTGACCAACCTGATTTATAGCTGTCTTCAGTGAGATGTCTGGGCTGGTAGATGAGGGTAGAGTTATTTTTCTTGACTTACACAAAGATTTAACACTGTCTCCCAGAGCATCCTCATTGTTAAGCTAATAAAGGGACTGGACAAGGGACCACTGAAGTGGATTCAAATGGGCTGAACTAACAGGCTCAGAGGATTGTGGTAGCCAGTCACTAATGCTGTTCCTCAGTCTGGAAGGAAATGGGTCTGGGCCTCCTAAAGCTAGGCAAAGGTAAACACTAAGTCCTGACCTTGAGGAGAAATGAACCCCAAGCAGCTCCCCAAAGAGCTCGAGGTCTGTTTGGCTGGAAAGTACCTTTCCAGTAAAGGCACTGGAAAACGTGGTGGAACATGAGCCAACAGTACCCTGGGCCAACAGAGGGGATCCTTCCTTTCTACTCAGCCTGGATGAGAGCACACCTGGGGTGTTTTGTCCAGTTTTTGGCTGCCCAGAACAAGAGAGGAATAAGTGTAGTGAGGAAAGCCCAAAGAAAGGCCACAAAGATGCTGAAGAGGGTTGCAAGCCCTTATGATACAAGTAGAGACTGATTATTTAGCCTTGAGATGGAAGACATTGTGGGGGGATGACATTATTCATATATATATTCAATATATGATGGAAGAGAGTAAAGAGGATGGAGCCAGACTTTTCTCAATGATCTGCAGTGAAAGAGAGGGAGACATAGGCTGAAAAACCAAAATTTTCACTTAAACATCAGGAAAAACTTTTCCTATTGTGAACGTGGTTAAATGCTGGTAGAAATACTCAGAGGAGTTGGGAATTATTCATTTGGAATTAACCAAGACCCAGCTTCTTAAGGTCCTGGGTATCTTGCTGTAGCTGAGCCTTCCTAGAGGGAAGTGTCTTCACTCACAATTCTTTGTTTCAAATTAGGCTGGTTGTAATGACTGATGTGTCTAAGTCCCAGACCAAAAACTACATGAAAATGAAGTTAAATGTGAATAATGATAATTACAAAGCTTCTGAAAGCAGCAGGCAGAAGTGTTACAAGATAAAAGTTCTTCAATTTGATGTGGTCTAAGTTAAAACTGAACATAAGATAGAAGTATTGCCATCGAATTATCTTCGCCTGGGAGTTTATAGCTAAAGACTGAGTATTTTTGCCATAGGGACATGGTGTAATGAATTCATTGACATGGTGTGGCATAGATTAAAAAGTCCATGGACAACTTTGTTGGCTCATGCTGTACAAAGAATGAGGTTAGATGAGCTTTCAAATTTTATTTTCTACCATAAAGTCAGTGGACCTTACATTTTGCTGTCTTACATCTGTGCAGTTTTCATTTTCACAAAGGGTCAACGTTGAATATCCACAGAGCCAATTGCAAATAGGCATAAAATTCTACCAACACAGACAAGGAATGTTTTAATCCCTAGAACTGATTTTGCCTTGCTGCTCTGCAGGAAACTGGACCAGAATTAATGTGTTAATGCCATTGCAGCCAGAAATGGTATGCACTTGCTGGGCAACTACAAGTGAACCCAGTGTTCTGTCTCAAAATGGATGGAGTAGAAAAAATGGAAGGACATGGAAGCTTCATAAACGTGGATAAGGAAGTGACAATTACTTCATAAAGAGAGAATGCATATTAGGATTTTTTCTTTTAAAGAAGTGAAGAAAGTGCTGTAAAGTGCTATAGACATCTTGGTCATTTAAAAAGATAATTAGACATAGTGGTTAATTTCTAACAGGAAAAATATACGTAACAGTTGTTTGAATTCTGCAAATAACTTCTACAAGATACCCTGGAATGCAGAAATCTAGAATAGTTTTAACAATATTTGGAAAGTCTTTGATTGGATAACAAGATTGTGTACAGTTAATATGAGTACGATGCAGTATAATGCTATCAACATTTGTACCTTTAAATGGAGAGGGTAATGAGCATTTTTTCCTCTAATCTCTCTTACTCTGCTATGGGATTTTCCTCATGTTTGTTTTCTGAGGCACTTGGTGCTGCACAAAATGGCAGTGGACCAAGTGGACATTTAACTGGAGAAGTATAGTAATTGCCATGTTATAAGCAAGTAAGATTAGTAGAGCTGACAAGAAGGAAGGGAAAAATGTCATGTTTCATTCTTTAGTGTGTCTATATCATTGAGTAGTTGCCTATTTAGATTCATAAAAGGGCTGTGGGGTAAAATTGAATTTCAGTACTGTTGACCCAGGAGACTGCTGAAGATTAGTTAAAAGGAATGCACTTTACTCTGTACAGCAGAGAAGTAGTGGCACTCACCTGGCTCAGAACCCCATTACTGCTTGCATCTGTCTGGTCAGTTTAATAAATGAGAAAGTGCAGTTTTCCAGGTCTTCATTATCATCCCCTGTGCTTGATGAGCAACAGGCTTTAGTATTCACCAGAAACCTTTCTAAGACTCCAAGACTGTACTAATTTATGACATAATTTCTTGAGGTGAGAGATTCGGCACCTGTCTCACACTAACATCTTACCTAGATGTGCAGGCTAGGTAATGTTAGATATAATTTTCTGTGGTGTCCAGATGAGGTATTGTGCAACCTATGTTGGAGCAGGCTGAGAGGAGAGTGCTTGCCAGCTGTCCTGCTGTGACTGTGGCACAGCACAGCCAGAGGAGATGTAGGACAATATATAAGAGTGTTAGAAGAACTCTCCAACTGTGAAAACACTCACATGGGCATTGGAAGTGCTGCATTCCAGTCCCTGCTTCAACATATTTTTTTTATATCTTATCCAATGATGGATTTTATTGCTAAATAGCTAAGCATTTGGAAACTTGACAATATGCAGAAAGAGGTTAGAGACTTCATGCTGTGGCTCATGTTTATATTTTGAGTAAAAAAGAACTGAGAGGAAAAATGAGGGTAGGGTAATTGGGGTTTAAAAGAAGATCAGAGGAAGGGGTTAAAAAAGGAATCAGAAAAGTAATTTCAGAACCTGTGACAAGAGAAGAGGATGGGCAAGGGAACATGAAAGCAAAGGGCCAAAGGGCATGGACAGCATTAATAATTCTCTTTGAAGAGAGTTTGACATTCTTTGGAGGTATTTTTGGCATCAGAGTTTTAATATAAGCCATTTTCATATGGCTTACCCACTTAAATCTTGCAGTGTTTCAAAGTAGTCTATTGCCATGTTTGTGAACATTCCCTCAATTCAGAACAAAGTTGTGATTCTTCCCTAAGATCCAGAATAAAAATATGAATACATATGTCTGTACGGTTTTTTAATATTTGAGAGGTGAATTGCAAAACTTACAAAAACATCCTGGTTAGTCAGTCCTGGAGAACTAATTACTTTGCTTTTTTTGGCAGATCACAAATAGGCTTCTATTGCTAATCTGTGCCTCTAATTTCTTTCAGTGGTTACACTTTGAGATAAGTTTATTAGCTTGTTTCTCTTGCTTCTTTTGCACACATAGTTCTTGGTCCCCCAGTAAGTAGATGGGATACCACTTAGCACCAGAATCTACTGACTACAATTTGCTCAATGCATTGATTGAATGTGGTCCAATAACGAGCCTCTTATAAATACACACTCGAAAAATCTAAAACCAGATTCTAGAGGCAAAAAGGCCTACATTTTGCCTTGCAAATGTTTCAGACATTCAACTGCATATGTATCTAATTTGAGGTAATAAGCTGTGTTTATGCAAGCCACTTAAAATGACTACAATTGAACATTTTACTTCAAAACATTGAATGCATTCTCTAGTACTTGAGGCTTTGCTAAGTAAGCTTATGCAAAAAACAGTTTTTGCCTCATTCAAGATCTGTCATATTCGTGTCTAAAGCTTAACTCTGCAAGAGAACTGATCAAGTTCCAGCTCTCTGTAAATATCTTCTCAATTCTTCCAAAAGGCACAATGAACTTGTCCTCAGAGCACAAAAGAGCAAAATGAAATGAAAGCAGATGACTCTCAGTCTGTGCCTCACTTAGTCCTTTAATATACCCATTAATAAATATAACTTCAGTGTCAGCATTTGCAGCATACATAGAGTTTTCCTCTACAAAGCCTATTGTACCACCGTAAATGAATACTTAGAGGTTTCAACATAATCGATCTCTTATCATGCTAGTGAACTAAAAAGATCTTATTATTTTGTAGGTATGGAAACAGAGATCTTGATTATCTTGTTTAGGGTATGTAAGAATCTTAGAATATCCTGGGAAGGGAGCCATTGGGATCACTCAAGTCCAGCTGCACAAGAACAACCCAAGGATGACACCAAGTGCACAAGAGCATTGCTCAAATGCTTCTTGAACCATGTCAGGCTGGTGCTATTACCACTTCCCTGGATATCTCTTTCCAGTGCCCAATTACCCTCTGGGTGAAGAACCCTTTCCTAGTATCCAACTTAAACTCCCCAGAGGCATCTTTATGCAATTCCTCTGGTAACTACGACTGATCACCAAAAAGAGGGAAGAGAAGAAATATGGCAGAGTAGACAACAGGACCTGTCCCCCCTGAATCTCCACTTACATCTCCACTCTTTCCAAAAATTTCCTGAAAGCTGGAAATAGAGACTATTGCATTGAAACTACAGGAAACAACTTTTGTTTCCCCAGTTACAATTTCAGTAAAAATATAGGCATTAGAAGCTCATGCATTCACACTTTCTCCAAAATGTCATGAAGCTTTGTTTTTCCTTCAGGGTCCAGAGAGAAGAGTTTATGGATGGGCTTGGTTAAGAATCCATACACATGCCCTGCCCTTGGAAAGGTGATAAACACCTACATATCGCATCATAATTACAAAAAATCCAGACCCATGCAAAACAAATTCACTTACCTTAGGTACAAACACAAGGCAGAGAGTAATGGTGCTGCAGAATATTATGACTAAAGCAACGATGCAGAACTGCACATTGGGCTGGTCCCGAGTAAGGAATGAAACAGCAGCCCCGATAATGCACATTATCCCCACGTTGTATACGCTCATGCCGATGTACTTGCTGTCATTCAAAGCAGGAATGCTGACATTTCGTGTCTCCCAGGCGAGGAAACACCCAAATAACTGAAATGGTAAAAAAAGGAGAAATTATGATAGTTGCAAGAGGAATTGGCTGTCAGCAAGAAAAAAGCACTAATTTAAAACAGGTATGTTTTCAAACCTGACAAATACATGCGATATTACAATTCAGAGGTATACACCTACCTTTTCCTCAATGTCTAATTACCTGTGTGATTTGTTTTGCTCACTAGGACAGATTCCTGCTCTAACAAGAAAAATGTGAAACTTAAAATTAGTTCTGATTGGAACAAAATTTTCTAAATGCTATGGTTGTCTTTATTTTATATTTTAAATAATTTTTAAAGACTGTCCTTCCTGTTCCTTTTCAAGGATTCCAGTAAAGATATAATGGGCATTGTTTTTTAACTATTTTTAGCAGCTGTTCTCAATATACTCTTATCAATCCAGCTATTCATTACATGATTATCACCTACATTAATAAGCAGCAGTGCCAAGATGTGTCCCATGAGAGATAAATATACAATGTAGAAAGTGTCACCCGAGTTGTTCAGATTACAATTATAATGTCTTTTATTATAGTGGGAGTTGGTAATGGCCTTTCAATTGCAGTTGTCTAATGATTTCTGGCATAAAACATTCTTGTGGCAATTTTTTGTTTGCTTTTTTCCTTTGGTGTATTTTTAAGTTTTAGCCCCTTTGTTATTTGCAATATGCTTTTGCAATTCAGCAGGGGAAAGCCTTTAGTGGAAGGAAGCCATCTCCATCCCTTGAAATTTAATTAGATTTTTCTGCAACATGAACTGCTGCACACAATTATTTTCTTCCTCTTGCATTCCTCAGAGGAGTTCTGGCAATGCAGTAAAAGCCTAAATGAACTCAAGACGTTGTGAAGAGGTAACCCAGCCTACAGTCTAGGCAAAGCCCTGTAGGAGTGTATGGTGCCTTGGGAAGCTTGACAGACAGCAGATAGCATTGGATGGACAGGAAGGACAGAGAGAGGAGCTATGACTAAGGTCCAGGACATGATTTCTATGTTTTATAGCTTTTTTTCTGATCAAAATGTGAGGACAGACAAGAAGGAGAAAGAACAAAGGTGCACTCCCATTGTCCTTAGTAGCCTTCCTCCCAGACATTTGTCCACTGACAAATGACATTTGTCCACTGCCATGTCATGGAGATAATCTTCTCTTTTATACAACCTCAATTTATGTGCAATCCAGGAAATTGGAGGTCAATGGTGATGGCAAATAACCTGGACTAGAAGAACAGTGTTAGGTTGCCAGACAAACAAAAGAGAGTAGGGAAATGGCAGATTGATGTTTGCTTTACAAACTTGAGTTTCAACCCTACCTGTGGTAACACTGGGACACTAGTAATGCAAGTTTCCTTGATTATTTCCTTACTTTTAATCTCAAATAACAATGGCAACAAAGCCAACCACTTGTGATTCAGCTGCTTTGCACTCCCACAGGCACTTCCAGGCTGCAGCCATCTACCAACTCATCCAGGCACTTCCAACCAGGGCACACTGCTGAACTGCCAGCCCTGCCCTCCCTGAGCTTGTCTGCTGCCTTATTTTGTTCTCTTGCCTACAGCACATATGTCACCCTGACACACTCTGTCATGAGCAGAGCTGGCTGGGAAGCTTTGGCAGATTAGGCATCTACTCTCAGCCCATGGAATGTGGCAGGCTGCAGGGGCTTCCTAGTCCAGGCAAGGGATGTTGAACAATTTGCTCACCCACTTTCCAGTGCTGCCATCACTGCTGCAATCCCTGTCAAGATACATTGCCACAGGTGGCCCTTCCCAGCAACAGCAGCAGTGGTTGTCCTTGCAACCCCTACCCAAATTTTTCTCAGCAACATTCCCACCCTATCCCTCTACATGCAGGAGATGGTCCTGTTCAGGGCACTCCATTGCCTCGTTGTTGCAGTCTTGCCTCTTCAGTTTAATCTCCTTTAGCAGGACTAGAGCCCACACCTCACTCCAGCCCATTGCCTCTTCTGCTCACCTTCCCAGCAGCCTAAGAATTGCAGGAAGAGCAGTAGTGGCTGCTGCAGGCAGAGCTTGGGAAGGGAATGCTCTTAAGGGGTCTGTAGACAGCTACATGGGTCAGCAAGGGGTGTCAGCCACTCAGGTAGGGCAGCTGAGCAGAGTGAGCCCCTCATCAAGCTTTGTGCCAGAGCAGCAGCTCATCCTCTGATACATTTTCAGAGCCCCTCTGGTAAACAAGGTAATCCCTCCAGTAGGGCAGGATGCAGGAAGCAGTCCTTTGCTGTTGGGTCTGGCACTGTGCACAGGCAGAGCAGGAATGTACAGACTCCTTTTCAGGCTCTGCAGAAGAAAATTGTCACAATACTCACCTGGGTGCATGGGGGGAGATACAGTGGTGGTACCTTTTTTCAGGGGACAAACCTGTTCCCTCCAAACCCCATAATCTCAGGGGTTGCCTGCTCTCCACTCCCTGCAATCTTGGTGCTGCACTACTCAGTTCTGCTGCAAATTTACATTTTACCACCCCTGAGGTGACAAACAGGCTGCTCTGGGCTGAGCTGTTTTGAGGGGCAGAAGGAATCCTTGCCTGTATTTCTACATCCCATTTTTAAAGGGATGACACCCTGATTAGCTATGGAGAACATTTCTATCTTCTCATACTACAGTTAATTATTAATGAGATTTTTAGGGTTGTAGATCATCCCTCACTTTCCTCCACTTCCCCCAGTATGAACGGATTCCATTCCAAAAGCATTATTCTGGGAAAACAGCCAATATACTTACATGAGGCCAGCACTTATTACAAATAATGGGGATGAATTTATAGCTGAGGTGGTTATAAAATGATCTAAAATATCAATTATAAGGAAAAAGATCGTTTGAAGAGTGTTGTGAGGGTTACGGTTTGGCCCAATCTCATTTATAATTGAGAACAGCTTGGAAAATGGTTAAATATCTTTCAGATGAAAGGAAGATATATATTTATATGATAACTAAAGAAAGGGAGAGGCTCTTGCAGCAAGTGGGTTTCCTCAGAATGAGGCTCTTTAAATCTGGGAGCATAGTTTTTAATTTTTATTAGCATTTTGGGTAAAATGCTTGCCTCAGGAAGAGAGATCTTCTTTTCTAGAAGTCACAGCTCATCTTTGAGACCCAAACATAGATAAAAGCTGAGAGTTTTCTGCATCCTGCTGCCAGGGCAATAGTGATGGCAGAGGTGCTCCTTGCTTGCCTGGTACAGATGCCTGCAGGGCTCCGTGAGGTTGGTAAGGGTTCTCCTCTGAGATAAAAATACTGTGAAATGGCTTGCTTGAGGAATAGGATGCAGACACTGCTAGTGAAAGGTCCAGATTTCTGTGATACCTTGACAATTTTTGAATATGAAACTTGGGAGCTACAGTTAAAACTACATACTCATAGTACCTAGTTCAGCTCCTCTTTACTCCTGGTACCTAAACTTTAAATATTCATCTTCCCCAGATAATATAATTACATTTCAAATTATGCTTGGGGGCACCTAATTCTTGGGACTGGTGTGGAATTTAAGGGCTATTTGATATTTTTAGGCTGCCTGCTGTGATTTGCAATGCAGCTGTCTCTCCTCCTATTGCCCTAGAGGGCTCAAGCTGGTAAAGGCTTCTCAGATTGTCCACTGGCTTGGGCCCCACACAAAATACATCAGCAGCCATCTTCATCAAGACAATGATGCTGGTGATGACCATTGCATAGCTTCATGTTTGGAGAACAGAGCACAATTCCAAATTTTGCCTGAGACAAGCTCCATAACCCCAGAGCAGAGTCTGGCTTCTGAAGGAGCTCTTGAATTTCTCTTTCAGAGCTGTTGGATTTTATGTAATGAGAGAGTGACTGTCTTAATTAATTGGGCACTTGCATGGGATGTTAGTTCTGATCTCTGCTGAGAATTTTGATTAAACAGTCTTTAGAGAAGGCATGCATAAACACACATTGGGATGGAGGCAGGCAGCTCTTAGCAGTGCTAAAGTTCTGGATTCAGAAAGGTGTAGGGCACATCTGTCCCCACTGCTTTACACCAGTCACAATTCCCATCCTGAGCCTTCTGATGGACCTCACGCATCTCTGAAAGAGTTTGAATAACTCAGGGCTCCACATTCCCTTGTAGAAAGCTGTTGTCTAAAATTTAAGGGCACCTCAGCCTGCTGTCGAGTCTACTGGCCTAATTTTGGTCCTTTTTGGATCCCAACCAACAACACTGAGAATGCAGCTAGGAAGGCTTCCTACACTGTTATTCATGAACTTAAAGCCTTCTTCAAATTTGGTGGTCTAATACACACATCTCCTTGATGTAGAAAATGCCATAAAATTTGGATTTTCTCAGAAGATATGGGCAGCTGTACAGGCAGGATTGGTTTGTTTCATCTTTTTTTTGAGGTTAGGCAGCTTCCATTTGACACTGATTTAGAGTATTACCTTTGCAGCTGTTGGTACAGTAGATTTAGGCTGTGTTGTCAGTGCACCTCAAAAGGCTGTGAGAAAACCACTGTGTAAATCTGGGGAAAACAGTATCTGAGGACAACAGGATTGTATCACTGTGATGAAAGATAGAATAGTGGTCACTAAAAGAAATCTGCATTAAAATGTTAGAGGCATAACGGGTGTATGGAGAATATTATACTTGTGTTTACATTGAACAGGCAAACTCTAATTTAAAAAAATCTTGTACTGACCAAATTTTGATACCTGGGAATATAATAAAAGTGTTTGTAGCTGAAGTATTGGAAAATATTAAACGCTTCTTAAAACTCTACCAGCTAGTTAATTTTAAATCTTGTTCTTGAGAATTACTGCTAAACACAGTAACAATTGCTCGGATTCACAACATATATTGATGCAACCAATGCCTAATTTGCTATTGGATTGCATAGATTATCACATGACAGGAAGGAAATTATTTATTCACCTCCATTGCCCTGTACTGCCCTTAAACCATTCTTTAAATGTTTCATTTCAAGGTCATGTCAGCTTAGGTTACGAACAATATTAGGAAAGAAAGATAGAGAAAAATATGC